CCCCGCGTATGTAATGGCCTTGATTACCGTATAATATAAACTTTATTTTAACGAAAATATAAAGCACTCGAAACTACAGTCTACAGATCTATGTTGACCTCGTGTTCTCCCTTCCCACTGTTCTTTGCCCGCTCGCTACATTCCCACTACGTAACAGTAATATAGGGTTGGGGGCTAATCGTGCTTTTTCCACAGACCATGCTATGTTAATCTTTTTATCATGCTTGGGATTAAAAGATGCGGGCGGGCTGGATCGCTGCGCGGTCCCTGTACTGCAACGAAGCCATGCTGTGCGATTTCGGATAAACCCTTATTAAAACGGCATTATTGCAAAATTGAGTGTGAAATTATTTGCAGCAATAAACTTTAGTAAGTCTTTAACTCGGTGCTTCCAATCTTCATCTGAATTGTATTCTTCATCTATTGTGTTCGAAATTTGGCGAAGCTGTTTGCGTTCTTGTATACGTCAGGAGAGTCTAATCGGTTATTCGCTTCACGATGATTCTATTTCAAAATATATAATTCATAATTTTAAACATGTGACGTACGTACGTCGTACAGGCTATTATCATTATCATCATCATCATCATCATCAATCAATTTTATTTAAATGAAAACACGCTAGCCTCGAACAACTGAAAGCTGATTTACAGGAGGGGCGTGATATATAAAACAGTAAAATATATAGAATATTAAATAAACCCCCAACCTCCCCCAACAAAGAGAAATAAAGTCAAGTAAAGAGAATTAACTATAATTAAGTCAACATGGTTCTAAAAGGACAGTTCCGCAATACTATCCTTACACTGACTGAGCAAAGTCGCTCTTTTTGCATCTAATGGAAGATTATTCCACAGCATTGACGCACTACATTTAAAGCTTCGCTTCAAAAAATTAGTTTTTGGTTTCGGATCTAGCTAGACCGTTTCCTGATTTCGTAAATTATGGCCTCTATTAAGTTCTCTAAGTCTTACGAAGCTTTCTCTTAAACATGGCGAACAATTTTCATTAAGGACTTTATACATTAGGATACTCTTCAACTTAGCCCACCTAACATGTAGATTATCCCATCCTAAACCTTCCAAAAGATCACTCGAGCTAATCCTATCATCATATCTTGCTCCAGTGATAACCCTAGCCGCACGATTTTCTAGTATTTGCAATTTATCTTTTAATATTTTATCGCATGTATCCCACAGGGGAGAGCAATAATCAAAATATGGCTGAATTAATGATTTGTATAATGCAACAATTTCTTTGATCCAAGACAAACTGTGTGACTGCGACAGTATACAAATAAAGAATGTTTATTGGTGCATTGGTAAAAATTTTTGGTGCAGAAGTGAAAGCTTGGATCTTCCATTCCACGAGGCGAAAGCCGATTGGAGTGGAGTGGAAATCCCATCATTCGCCGAATTAAATATTTGTAATAATTGCACGAATTAAAAATTCATTGCGTTGTTTTTTTAATGTTAAAAAATAAATTAAATGGCAATGAGAATAAGCAAAATGAAACAGATCGTCTAACAACTCCAAGATAAAATTCATATTTTCGTACATTAATTAAGCTCTCGGTCGCCAACCACCAATAAAGTCCAACAATTTCTTACAATGAAACGGTTTCACGCCCAACGACTCTAATGATTCTTGGTCCATGCTGACCAACATCGTTCCATCAATCAATTCATTAGCAAATGTCTGCACGTAGTCACTCAAATTTAAATGCCCAAGCAGTCTGCTAACGTCTGCGACACCTAAGCCTGATAGGTCTTGAGGAAATCGAGAAATTGCTTCATAGATTGCTTGTTTGTCTTCTTGGGTTTGGGGTGGTGGCTTGATTGGTAATGGTGGTGGTGGCTTGATTGGTAATGGTGGTGGTGGTTTGATGGTCTGTGATGTTGATGGTAGGCTGGTAGTCTGTGTGTAGAAATAATATTATTAATTAAGTATAGAGATTTCTGTGCAGAGATAAGGTGAAGCCAATGGCGGTGTGACCACCATATTTCCTTGACAGTATAACTGATTTAAACACGTAACGATTAGCCTGCGTGCAGTCCCAGACTTCCAAAGGAAGTAGGGACTACTTCCCTACTTCCTCTGGGAGTCTGGGACTGCACGCAGGCTACGTAACGATTTGACTCGTAAGGAATGTGACAAATATAAATATCTCTCCTCATAATTGTTAAGTATTTAACAAATATAAAAACATTTTCCGTGTTGATATACAGTTATATCAACACGAGTGGAAATTGGGAAAACGAGAAATTTCACGAGTGTTGATATAACTATATATCAATACTGAAAAAAGTTTTATATTTGTTTTATAATATAG